AAACCTAAGACTATGCAAACAAGAATTGAATGCAGAAATCTGGAGAACATAACAAGAAAACATAGAAGAATAGTGATTCAGACTCAAGAAAACCATAAGGGGTTCGAGAATATTGGATAAAATGTAAATGTGCACAAATTGAAGACAGCAGCAATTTATAAAGAACATCAAGTGTATGAATAGTGTGCGTGTGTGTATACTAGCAACAGATTGTACAAAAGCAAAATCGTGAAACAGATGATGAATGGTGGAATTCAGCACACAAATGACTATTTAAGAGCATGAACAGAATCACAGTAGCAGTATACAAGCATAACAAATGTTGAAGTAAGTCAAGAATTGAAATAAGAGGAAATACTGACTTACCAAAGAAAAGGAGGCCGGTGTAAAGAACGTCGGGGTCAGACGGTAGCAGTGAGCGGAGAAAAGCAGCAAAAGCTTCACTGGAGGAGGTGAACAGAGTGGTTGCAGAGCTTAAAGGGCTTGAAATAATGAAAGATTTGGAAGATGAGTGTTAGAGAGAGAAAGTTTAGAGAAAACGACAATACAAAGGTGAAAAGACGAAAAGAGATGGGTGTTTTGATCAAAACACGAAAAAGGCGGAAAAATGGTATTGAATGTGCCTTAGATGACGTGCCTGTCAGGCGGTGCATGCAAAAACGACGTGACTTGATGGTGCGTGTCAGGTACGGTTCAATAGGGAAAGGACGCGTGGCGAAAACAGTTGAGTTACTATGCGTGACAGCTCATACGCATGTTGAAACTCTTGGAGTTCTTGATTTAATGAAGCAAAGACCTCGACTATGGGTATAATCTTGGCTAAATAACTTGAAAAAACTTGTTTTTTGGTTCTAAGGCATTGACAAAACAGACTACTAGTCTTGGACATGTAGAGCCGATGAATGATGACCTCGGTAATGAAGGGTAGAGCATACTTAGCCGATGTGCTATATGGTCAAAGGATATAGGTTCTATCACCTCAGGATGTCGAGGTAATAGAACCTAGGGGGCAGTTGTGGGGCATACTTTTGTGAATGACAACACATGGCCAAGGTGGCATTGAAGTGCCAGCCGAGGTGCCACGTGTCCTAGTCATGGTGCCGAGGTGATCTCGGCTAGGCTGAGGATATGGTGCAATAATACCGGTATCCGAGATGAACGGATAAAGGATAAGAGTCCTAGAATGGGGAAAGACCTCAGCCTGAATAAGGATAAAACTCTTAGGAAGTTTATCTTTATCTATTGGGGAGTCCAGGATGAGCATTGGGCCAGAGTCCAAGGGAAGCTAGGCTTGTACATGGATCAGGTTAATGCTAACTATAAAAGTAAGGCACCCTTGTGGGTCTAAGGTACGCTTTTGTATTATGGCTTGTGAATTAAGCACAATTAGTTATCTTTGAGAGATGTTGATTACTGACTTGATCGTCGGAGTGCTCCCGGTTAGAAGAACCACCGCCGGAGTCTTTTCTTTCTGTGACAGGTCATTCGGGCGTAATCTATTCTGTCGGTATTCTCCAGCTGAATACCTGTTTGGCAGTGTGGTCAGAAAATAACACACACATAAACCGTACAAGTTGCCATTGAAATGGGAACTCCAAGTTGCTAGGCTTGTCCAATTATTATTATTTTGGGCCGTGCTACATCCCCCTAATTTGGGGAGCCCTAATCTCCCGAAAATTGAGACTAAGGCCAAAAAAAAAAAAAAAAAAAAAAATTTTCCCAAAACGACGTCGTTTTGGGGATTAGGGGGATTAGGGGTGGCTTTTTTAGGGCTCCAAATCATTTCCCTATTATTTTATGTTAATTATAATCACTTATCTAATGAATGGGAGTTCCCAATGATCGTTTTGGGATTAGGGGATTAGGGGTGACTTTTTTAGGGCTCCAAATCATTTCCCTATTATTTTATGTTAATTATAATCACTTATCTAATGAATGGGAGTTCCCAATGATATTGTATTACTAGAAATTAATTATTTAATCCTACTACTAATCTGGTGCATAATTACCTTTTTTGCTTTAATTAAACGCCATTAACCCTTGTAATGCCGGCAACAACTGGCCAAGATTTTCCTTGGTTTCTGTAGTTGTTGCCCAATCTTCCCCCAAACAGCTGTTCCCTCAATTTTTTTCCTTCTGTTCTTTAGTAATATGTACCACACTTCTGATTGGTATATTCATATATTTTCCACATGGATGCATTGATTCTCAAAATCAAAACATTAAAAAAAATAAAAAAATAAAAAAAAATGGAAGGAAAAAACTCCTTCCAAGTCCATGATTAAATTGGAGATGTCCAGTTTGACTCATTGTGAGCTTACATCAAATTTGTCTCAAAAATTTAAACCATTTACCTTGAGAGCTCGTCAAGTATATTATTTTTAAAAAGTTGATTGGACATTGATAATCATTAGATCGGATCACATTTATTTTTAAAAAAAGAAAAAAGAAAAGAAGATTGCATAATTTTCTATTTTTTAAAATAAATGTGATCTGATTAAATGGATATCAATATCTAATTAATATTATTTTTTTGTATAAATAATGTGTCACACAAGATAAACAATTCAAATTATTGATATGGGCCCGCAGTGGGCCGAACTAGAGCTCTTTAGATTGATCATAAACTGGAAAGAAGGTATTTCCAAAACAGAATATCATTTACAAAATTTATATATATTTTCAGATAAAACTTTAACCACAACTTGCTTAGGGCTTGTTAGTAACATTGTGGAAAATTGACATATTGTTTTAGATCATGGGATATTGGACCAAATTATCTTGGAGTTCCTTTTCTCGATTTACCGATCTCTTCCTCTCTTTCTCCCTCTTTTTTTGTCCCTCTCTCTCCCTCTGTTTCAGAAAAAAAAAAAAATAGAATGCCCAAAACGACGTCGTTTTGGGCATTCGGGGGGAAGAACTTTCGAGCTACAAATCATTAATCATAATGTAAACATACGAGAATTGTTATTTATACCATAAAAAAAAAAAAAAAATTTGTTGTGCCATTTTTTTATCATCAAATATATATAATAAGATTTTATTTATCTTTAATATATTTTTAATAATTATTTTCAAATATGAAACCAAGGTGACACAGTCCTGCCAACGTGGGGTTTACCATCTAAACTATTCATTTTGTAAAGTGCACAGAGTTAGCTATGCATACAAAAATATATAATAATCAGATATTGATAATTACTTGGATTACATTGGTCTTTAAAAAATAAATAATTTATTTTTAAGATTATATTAGAGATACAATCTTTTAAAATACAATTGTGACTTGATTACATAGTTATTGATATGTGATCAATCCAATTTTTTATGAAAAAATATCAATTAAATATAAGTTTTTACAAAAATTAAAATAAATGATACATTTTACAAATATTAATAATTAAAATCTTGGTAACCATTTCATTTTCAGTTTATATTTACAAAAATTTTAAAAATTGTCATAAAAATTTGTTTGATAATTTTTTTAGTTTATAAATGGTTGTCTCAGTTTGTAAATTTGAGAAAAAAACGTAAAAGCAAAAAATGAGTTTACATTGGTTTTTAAATAGAAATTTAAAAATTTGACTAACAAATTTTTTTTTTCAATTAATTTTTTTGTCAAATATTTTTTTTCAATTAATTTTTTTTTCAAATAATGTTTTTTTTAAATAATTTTTTTATTTATTTTTTTTCCAATTAATTTTTTTAATTATTTTTTTTCAATTATAATGTGTATGATCCATTGTCATAAATAATAAAAAAATAAATATAAATATTTTAGGCCTGTACAAACATATTTTTTAGTGTATGTTTTTAAAATTTTTCAAACATTTTGCTCAAACCAAACGCGTTTATAGTTTATATTTTTCTAAAAATAAATAAAAACAAGTTTATATAATTTTTGTAAAGATAAACAAAAAATGTAAACCTTACCAAACTTTTTATAATTGTATAATTATTTTCTAAAGATAGCATTGAATTGTAACTTTTTTAATTTTTATATACATAATGTAGCCAGCGGCCTTACAGAAATAAATAGGATAAATTACAAATATACTTCTTAAAATTTGTTTAAAATAGAAAATTTTCATTTGTGGTCCATGTTAGAATTTTTTATTTCACAGAATTAATTGAAGAAGCGAAATTTCTAACTGTTCATCTATATAATACTAAAATTATCTGAATTATTAATTGAAATAAAATTTTAACGTTATTAAAAACTATTAATTAACTTAATGATATATTAATAAAATGACTTATTTATTATGAAATTAGAAATTTTAAAAGGCAAATGTAATTTCTAAAACCACAAAGAATAATTTATAATTTAAGTAAATCTCAAAAAATGTATTTATAATTTACAAATAAATAATTTGAATAATTAAAACAAACCCACAATGACTCACCATAGATTACAGAAGGGGTAGTTGTGCCAAAATGCACGACAATGACCCCAATTCCCCATGACATATATACGATGATTGAGCAAACCAGAAAAAACTCCCTATGGAAATTCAAGAAAGCAATAGAAATGTCTATAGACTATGAATACACAAATTTCCTTACAATTGCTGGACAACATTAGAAACTAGAGAATGGTTTGTTTTCAATTGAAAATTTAAAATTTTTTACTAGTAAAAGTCATTAAATAAAAAATTCTAATTGATAAGAGTTATTAAACAGAACTCTTAGCTGTAAGATTTGAAAAAATTTAATTGGATTACATTTTCATAAACTAATTAGAATTTTTTATTTAATAACTTTTACCGATCAGAGACTTTGGCTTCGTTTGGGAAGTTGGTTGGCTTTTTAGTTTTTTTTTACTATTTTAGCCTGGGGCTAAAAAACTTGGTTTAGGAAGTGCTTTTGACTTTTTTGTGAGAGAGGAATATAATGATTATGGGTTAGATGTGATGTTTTGTCTTATTGAGTTAAAAAGCCTATTTTGTTTTTTGTAACTAAAATAGCCAAAAAAAACCTCAAGATTGGCTTCCCAAACAGAGCCTTTAACTGTCTAATCCGGTTAAATTTTCAATTGAAAACAAAACAATTCGTGAAAACTAATAGCACAAATAATTTTTTTACAAAACATTCTACAGATGTGTGGAAAAAAATATACATATATTTAAAGTCTACAATAAACTTCACCTTTGTAGGGCTCCATTCCTTGATCTCGCATCTCCGTCAGAAAATCTTCTGTACTCTTTCATGAGTAACAAACTAATCACACATGATGGTGTGTCAGTTTAATCTTGATTAAAATCATGAATTGGGACCACCACGGCCATAGGAGTTACTACTAGGGGAGTTGGCACCGGTGAGCTTCGACAAATTGGGCACGTCGGGTTAAATTTTAACCAGGGGTCAATGCACCGGAGGTGGAAGAGGTGGCCGCACTCCGGTAACAAGCGGAGCATATCCGAATTCTTGTAATCTCCCAAGCATATGGAGCAGCCGTAGGCGGTGGAGGAGTCCCGGTTGTGGAGCTTTGCTTCCGCGTAGAGTAGTTTCGGGTAGTTGCGGAGGGTGGCTTCGTCGAGGCCTTGTTCGGTGGCGGCGGCGATGGAGTCGTTATCAGTGGTGGTGGTGGTGGAGGAGGAGGAGGAGGAGGGGGCGCGGAGGCGCATGCTGGTGAAGGAGTAGGAAGCATATGTAATGACGATGATTAGTAAGAGGACTCCAAGGGAGAGTCCCATGCCATAGCCGAAGGATTGTGGGTTTTCTGGGACATCTGTGGATTCTGGGGTTGTGCTGTTCATTTTTTGTACAAGGACTTGGAGCCCAGAAAAGGTTGGAAATGGTGGTTTAGGGAGAGAGAGAGAGAGAGAGAGAGAGAGAGTTAGGTTGGGATGGGAAGCCAGGAAAGAAGATAAGAGGAGGTTAAGGAGGGATTAAACAAGGAAGATGAATCATCTGGGAGAGGGAGAGGGAGAGGGAGAGGGAGGGACATAAGTATCTGTTTTTACCATTAATTGGGTAAGTGTGTATCTAATGGTCAACTGTTTCTGTCATTTGTTTTTGTGAAGTTGATATCTCTCCTTTGAGGAGAATTTATTTGTTGGTCTTGAGGTAGCATCATATGATATTTTAATTGTGATGTGGTTGGCAGAAGGATAAAATTTATAAATTTATATTAGATAATTAAAAAATATAATATGATATAATAAATTGTGATTGGTGAGAAGCGTAATCACCTGACATTTTTGGAGTAATTAATAATGAGTAATGCTAGAGACTCCAAATATTTTATTAAAAATTTTACTAAATGTCTCACATGGGTGTGGGACCCACACAATGTGCGTCCCATGTGCGTCCCACAACCATGTGAGACATTTGGTAAAACTTTTGATAGAATTTTTGAGACCTCTAGCATTTTTGATTAATAATTTTTCCCTATAGGATTACTAGGTGCGCTAATCAACCTTGTCTTGGGCCAGTGAGTGGACATTCTCTTCAAGTGGCCATTTGGTAATTTAATTTTTATAAAGGAGTTTTAGTTTTTAAAACTTTTTATATGATGTGAAAAAATTTATTCTTTTCATCTCAAAATATTAGTTTTTTTGAAAATTTTAATATTTTTGATTGTATAATTATTACACTTTAAAAATAGTAATTTTTAAAAACTATCATTTAATTTAAAATTAAGGTTAGTATAATTTAAAATAAAGACAAAATAGAAAATTTATATTATTTTAATTTTTTAATTTTGAAAAGAGATTAATATTTTGAAATAATGAAAAATAAAATAAAGACTAATATTTTTGAGATGGAAGGAATAATATTTTAAAATTATTTTTTTACTTAAATAAATAATTATGAAAAGAAAAAGTTAATAATTGATAAGTGAAGGTGACATTTTGACTTTCTTCTGCTGGAAAATTGGCTGCCAAAGACGACCCTTGGGGTTACTTCGGGAATACTTCGTGAAAGTGTATATTTAATAAGCGAAAATTGATAAAAAGTTCAATTTAAAAAGAGTAAGGTAAATAAGGATATGTTAAAAATGTCGTAGGAAAATTGGTTCAAAAAGTTGCCGGCGTCGGTGACCAGTGATAAGCAGCAACAAGTAGTCGTGGTGAGTTACAGAAATATGTGATATTCAACAGATAAAGTATTAAATAAGTGACATGTATCATATAGTTTGGTGATTTTAAGAGATAGTCAGGTTAATTTCAACATATACTTATCATTTTAGACAAATTATGTTCTTTTGACCCAATGATGTGAGAGTTTGGACCTAATGACTCAAAAGATTACAAAATAGATTTGTCTCAGTGTTGTTTTGGGAACCAAAATAAAAAGCCACGTTTTTTTATCTTTGGTCCAAAAACGCAAGTGGTAAAAACGCAACAAAATTGGTTTGGAAAGTAATAAAAACGGAAGTGTGAAATTATAAATTGGGACCTATGACAAAAAAATAAAAAAATAAATTTCTTATGTTGGGTAATGGTATTTTGGTCATTTTAATTTGATTTGATACCATAAACAAATATTAAACTAAAAAGCCAAAAGCCAGCTTTTTACCAACTTCCCAAATCACTTTTTAAAAAGTCAAAAAGTTTGATAAAAAACCAAAAATTAACTTTTTACCAGCACCCCAAAACACCCTCAATACTTATTTCTTAATCATGTCCAAACTTATTTTGATTTTGATAAGTTTCTAATTTTAGTTAATCAATAATTTAATTAGTTTCTAGTTTTACTCATTAATTGAATGCATTTATTAATTTTATCTTTTATATATAAATAATTTAACAAATTCTGAGACTCATCAAATGCAATAAAATATAATTAATTACTTAGCATGACCCATTGTTTATTAGAAAATTGCAATTTGATATTTGAAAAAGCATTTCAAAAATTATTGGGGAAGTAGAGCTAGTAAAGGAATGAAATCTAAGCTTTGATGAGATAAAATTTATCCACTTTTTTCTTTCCTCATCTCTTTTATTTCTCTGCTCTCTATGTTACTCTAGCCCCTGTTCAATCATTTCCTAGCCATCTCTGTGACCTTCCATTCACTTTCATAATGTTTTTGACGGGTACATATATAAAAATCAGTCCCGCTACATACCCTCAATGGGGTCGCGCCTTCAGTGACGTGGCGCGCCTCCACTGACTGAAAACTCAAAAAAAAAAAAATTTTTTTTTTTGGACCAATCCCGGAGCGACACCTCACTGGGGGTCGACCCCCGGTGGGGTAGGAAGCATTTTTCATATAAAAATATATGTATGACAAATGAATATTATTTGATTTTCAATGTTTTTAATAAATTAAATAATAAATGACAAAAACACGTGTTACGTACAGTCACACAATAAATCTGATCCTTTTAATCAGAATAAATTAGGAACATTGAGTATGCATGAATCAGAATTTAAAATATTCCTAAATAATGTGTATGTTGTGTGAAAAAGGTCAAACAAATGGATACGACAAAATTTTGAGGTAATATATCAGAGAGGAGGATCTGGGGATTTCCCTTTCTAATATGAAATAATTAAATAAATAATAACAATAACGATTTAAGGTTTGGTATAATATCAATTGAGCCAAGCTTCTCTCTAGCCTAAGATTGGACTGGAGCGTGCTGTTGAACGTATATGTGCCCATCTTGAGTTCTATTTTGATAATCTGAACTGTTCAATGTATAGAATTCGTCTAGTACTTTATCCATGTAAAAGATCACATTGATCGGATCAGATTTCTGTCAACGGTATATATAATTTTTAAAATAAATTGTTGATAAAAATTTGATCCGATTAAATAACTATCGATATTCAATCAACGTGATTTTTTACAAGAATAAAGTACTCAACAAATTTTACACATTGAATGGTTCGAATTATTAAAACATGACCTATGATAAATCTCACAAGTCTAACAATTTCATCTAATCTACAAAATAAACTGAAGATAAGCGTGACTTACATTAATCGTCCCATTTAGTAAACAACGGCGCCTCTTGGATTGCATGCCCAGTTTTTCCTTGGGAAAGGAATGTGGATCATGCTTGGTAATTTTAAAATGATTATTAATTAATATCGTTCCGATTTATAATCAAACTTACAAAATTTTATAATTAAAAATGCAAATTTAACCGTACTAAACACGTTTACGCATATCTTTGATTATCACATTTTGTATAATTTTAATATTGATCTTCCGTTTTCTGAGCTCAATATTGATATTTGTAAGATATTAAAAAAAAAAAAAATTGTTTATCTCTACCAAATTTTTTTTATATTTCCATTTAAGAAAAAATAAAATATGTATGACCCTAGGTAAGTTTTGCCCTCATTGGATAAAAATTCTGATATGCCCCTATTCATGACCAAGACGAATTTGATTGATAACTACAAATACCACAATCTCCTGTAACAAAGGCTACTTTAATTCATAACAAATCACAACAAAACCTTATAATCAAGTTCATAATCAATCACAATATAAATTTAATTTCATAATAATTCATAATTAACACAAAATTTATAATCAAAGTTATAAATTTTCTTAATTAGAGTGAATGGCACACACATCGTGTGTACCTAAGCTTCGGCAACAAGCTCCAACCTTAAAAATTAAAGTTGGGGCCTAGATGCCGGGCACATGGGTTTTGACTGCTCAATGGATTGGGCTTGGATCAGTCTATATTAGATTATTGAAGTTCAAGATTCACGGGCTTAAACATATAGACCTATGGGCTTTGAGAGAAACTTAACTCATATGGGCCTGATATGGGCCTTTTTCATGAACTTCAAAATTTATTAAGAAATAAATAATTGTAATACAAAATTTTGATGTGCATCACAATAATTAGAGTGGCATATCAAATCATTTTATTCATTGAAATATAAAAATTACATCCATTATGGGTATTTGATTAAATTGTATGTTTCCTAATCTCATGAAAATATAGATATTAGTTGTATAATTGCCATGCTGTTCACTTATTAACTTTAATCTTGTTGTTCTAAAAATTCATTTGTACCCAAAAAAATGAGAAAAAAAAACAAGAGAGAGAAACAAATATAATATTTATTATTAGTGCATATGAGTCTAATACAAACTTTTTGGATGGGTCTATTGGGTAAGCAGGTTTCAATAAGCCCATCGGACCAAGTTTATGGGCAGATGGACTTATTGGAACACTACACCTAATATACAAAAGCCGTGTTATGTAATTAATACAACTATTAGACACAAAATCTTAGAAAAATTTATATTAATACCATCAACTTTTGCTGTTAAAGTCAATTAATAATAAAATTTTAATTTGAGCCCTACAAATAGGGCTGCATGTGAAACCTAAGCTTAACCAAATTAAATTTAATAAATCAATCATGTTTTTTATGTGACACATTATTGTTACAGGTGTTGAGTGTGGGTGTGTGTTTAAGTGTTAGATTAATTATCAATTCTCATGTCAAAGGATATTATATTTAATATTTTTAAAATATTTCTTTTATTTTTTAAGAATAAAATGATGTTTACAAATTAAAATATAACATTTTATGTATTAATTAGAAATCTAACGTGTAGTTTTTTGGGTGAATAATCTAACGTGTAGTTATATAGTAAACTTGAAAATTTTTTATTTATGTATTTATTTTTTGTTGTATTAGTCAAGGTGCCTCAACTAAACTAAGAATATTATAACGTAATTTTTGAATCAGTTTATTTTATTTTATTTTTAAATGAACATGAGAAAATTAAAGAATATTGTAATAACTCTATATGGTTTGTAAAATTTCATATAATGTTTCTATCAAATAAATATACAGAATTACTGTAGAATAACCCAATTCGCCCAGCCCCAAAAATACAATAATGCCAAAAGAAAAAAAAATTAAAATAAAAAACAAAAGATTAACAAAAATAATCTCTCAATATTGAGTCTTGACTCAGCTATTGGTTAAAAGACTTCATGTTGGTTTTTGGGTGAGAATGAAGGATTGTGAACTTATATACTTTGTTGGTGGATAAATTAGAGTGTCAATCCAAAAACATCAATTAAATTTGGTTGAAATTTCAAATTTCCTATTGATTTCGAATG